TTTTACCCTTCCCGCATCTAATGAACCACTCGTAAATTATTTCATGTATATTGTTAAAAATTAAATACCGCAACTTTATATAACATAAATCGTTTTCTATGTGCTTTCAGAATTTTGTTGCTAAAAATAAATGAACAGATAATTATGAAACAAAGAATGTAATTTATAATATTATAGATAGAGCATCGTTCAAATATAGACAATAACAATACTCATGACTATATTTACATATAGTTTTTAAAATTTATTAACGAATAGACTGTTGATGATGAGAGTGAATCACCAATACCGATAATCTAACCTATAAATAATTTTTTCTACGTTACATTTACTTTTATATTATTCGTATTATTCCTAACAAATACTCGTTGTGCTGCAACAAATACGCATTTCAATTCCTCTCGTTGGCTGCCAGCTAACGATCATTGGCGCTTGCGGAGATGGGAAATTTTCAAATGAGAGCTGAATTGTCCGGAGTCTCAATCACTAATGTCTACGCGTCAGAGACGAGACGTTTCTCTACGCAGGCATGCCAACCTGATGACCAACGCTTGGAACGCTTTCAATTTTCATCCCCTTTCAAATTACTTTAGTGTACTCAATTTTTCTAGACAATTCTTAACGATCGTTAAAACACGAAACTTTTGCCAAATCGCTGCATATGTGAACAACAACTCTTCTTATAGTCAGCATCGTATAAATGAAAATTTGTTTCATACTGAAAATTTTGTCTGTTTCCGTTGTGTTTTATTCTAACCTCTAATCGAAAGCAATTTTTAATTTATTACCTCGGAGAGTGAAATTATTGTTACATATATATTTATATTACGTAGTATTATAAGTTCTCGTTATAGTTCCTCCAAAAGGAGTATCCATTTGCTCATTAAGAAATAATCAAGAGTACTTTCGATAATACTCATTGACAAACATTTTCTAAAGACAATCGAATTACCTAGAGTGGCCCGGATTTCTCTCCCAGCGATTTCAAGCGAGGCACTCTTCCCTGGGCGCGTCGCGCGCATACGCAGGGGTGCCAGCAGCAGCGTGTAACGAACGTCTGTAGTCGTGCAGACAAATTCATTCGAGCAAGCATTGGCAGCGTGATATCTTTCTATGGGGGCTATTTTCTCATCAATCCCAATCGCTTTTATGAAACGTGACTCACGCGTGAAAAGGTCCGCACGCCTTTGGCGAATCCGATTCTCCCCCTATATTCGCTATCCTTCTCTACTACTCTCTCTTTCTGTTACATATTATGTACATACTATGGTCACTTCGAGAAGAGAAAAAAAAACACGCTTCACGAGCTAGAGCTATCTGCAAATAGGAAAAAGAGCCGTATATACTCAGGACTGATTTTTTCATGGTCAAGAATTCTGGATACCTAACCTTCACTATTTAGTTAACAGTGAGTTTCAGGCGTTAGCAGCCCCAATATCATTATCCCCGTTACCATGGTGCAGAAGCGGATGCCACTTTGTATTGGAGAAACACATAATGTCGAATAAAAGAACGACGAAATTACGAAAAGTAAATTTTTTAGAAAATCCGTTTGTAAAGTATTTATTACTCAATTGTTCAGCGAAGAAAAAATATCGTCATCGGATGTTATCAGAATTTCCCTATTGACAGAGCAGCAATCTTACGAATATCGACAAGTGGCAATAACATTGACGTTTGAATTATTTAAGCAAACTTGTTTCGAGTGGACTGTTAATATTATAAGCTCTTTTGCGAGAAATAGGCTTTATAGGCTAAGAATAGAGCTTTACGTAAAATACAATATGCAATAATAAATCAAAGAAAGCAAAGAAAGTAGGATTCGAAATGTTGAACAGATCTTTTGCATCTCCATAACATCATCATTGATTAGAGTACTGCGCAAATGGTCGTGCGAATTTTACGAACATATAACGCTTTCTAAAAGACGAAGCTTCGCGCGAACGAACTCAGTGTTTTATATAATTGCACAAAAGAAAGGAAAATAGAAACATTTTTGTCTTTTCATAATCGTAAAAATATTGAAATACCTTACAGCATACATCGTAAGGTACGGGAGATAACGCTGGTTTATCGCTTGAAAATTAGTCGTAATATCCGCACGCCATTTGTAACGATACGGTGACACGAGTACGATCGCGGAGAATGAAAAAAGAGTTCAAAATGTAAGTAACGAAGAAAGTGAAATTTATTAGAAAAAAATAGGGTATTAAAAGTGGTCGAAATCTTGGATTTTTGCAATTGTAATTCACTTATGTGAATAATATCGGTTAGAAGAGTGACACAGATAAGAAAAAAACATATTTTAAGGAATTGATTTGAAACAGAAAATTATCAATTATTCAACTATTTAGCGAAAGAGAAATCTGTTTTCTTTTACAATTAAGTCAATATTCTTTAGATTTTGGAAATCTCTAATAAAATCTACATAATTACAAAATAATTAAAAACAATCCTGCTCCGAATTATAATATCGTTCTTATTAAATAGTATTTTGTTCGATAATTATCTTAATAAATAACTTACTTTCACGATAATTATTCTTGTAAATATTTCAAAATTGATGATTTTTGTAGTATATCAATTCCCTAGAACAAACCAATGCTATGTACCCACATAATGTATAAACGTAATGCAGGAACTAAATATTCCCGAATATCCCTTGTATGTCGTAGTTAAGTACATGCATTAATGGCATGGTTACCTATCTAATAATCCTTTTTCCCACGTCCGAATTAATGGATCGTAGATAGAGCTATCAGACGCGGTTTTCCAAAGGCTGGCTACTTCCGATGTAATACATAGCCATAACCATAATAACATTTTAATTTTATTCGATTCATTTTCATATGTACATATATATATATATATATATATATATATATATACTAAAATGTGTGCACACTTACATACGAACATGTACATAGCAACACGATCGAACTTCTCAATGTGAATTGTAAAGATAGATGGACAAGACAAAACTGTACCCCCGGATACTCAACAAAGTTGCAGTTAAACGGCTTATCAAACTCCGTTTCGTATATTGCGGACGCATACACGGACATTAAACACATGGATAAGTATTCTATAAATGTAACTGCCTGTTTAGCATACAGACTGCATCGTGTTCTGACGACTGACAATTGTTGCTAATAATATTCAGTGCACAATATTCTATGATGCAAAACTTTCTATACATCGGTTCATTAGATGCAGGTACGTTGTTTTCTCGAGAAAATAGTGATTTCTTTATACCGTATTGGATTTCTTTCGAATGAATTTTATTCTTAATCCGGAAATATTCTTCAATTACTCAATTGTAAAAGCATTCTTTACATTCTTGCTTTTAAAACAGAAAGAAATAATTTTAGAAGTGAATTATATTTTTATAAAATGTTCATTAAAAAATTTACCAAATATTATTTAATTTTTCATTTACATATAATAAATTATAAATAATATATTGTATAAAATATTAAACGAAATTGAACTAGTATCGGAATAAGGAATAAATCTTGTTTAGAAATTGATTGTATATTAAAGTGACCTTGTGCCGAGAAATACTTAGGACATAATTTTAAACTAAACGAGTGGAACATGTACGCATGCAAAACCATTAAATGTTTTTATTAAAATTCCTTCGCATCCGTTATAAAATTACTCATCCGCTTCGTAACGTAGCAATGAAATTCTAATTACCAACGTCTCGGGGAGCAGATACCACGCCTTAAATTTCAAAGATGCAGTGGTATTGTAACGGTCTGTTCGCTAGGAGATCGGAACCTCGACACTATATTTTCTATTTTGTTTTCTTCCCGGCGATTCACCTTGATTGAAACGAATAACAAACTACCGAAACGTAATGCGAGTTGTATCTACATAATATACGTATTATGAATTATAAACTTTAGGTTTACTTGAAAATTTTTCGATAACGAACAATTATTATCAGTCACTGGTATAAAACTAAAGAAATAAAGGAAAGATATTCTATACGTGTTAATACGGGTCTCTGGTTAGTAAAACCAACCATATTTAGCGGCCTTTAACTGCTTTATATTCAAACAGGATAAGAGACGCTATCAAAATGTCGCTTGATTCCGTTAACGTCACATTAATCTTAATTAACTTCCTTTACTTTTCATCCGATTCGCACGAATTTATCGATAAAATGAAAAAATTGTTAATACGACTATTGATTTTACATCGGAACTATCTACGACTAAAGTAAACTTGTACCAAGGGAATAAAAATAAAAAGTACATAAAAAGTACAAAAAATAGAAGGAAGAAATCAAACCTCTTTGCTATATACTTTATAAAAAAAAATCATTCAAGCGATGCAAAAAATCTACTGCTATAAATCTATCAAATTTCTATGAAGAATTATGAATTATGAAATTTTAGTCAGATTAGAACATTTAGTATTAACTGACGCGTTATTCGTATTTTATTGCATATTTTATATAGTAGTACTACATTAACCAACCAAGATTCTGCTTTGTTGGCTAACCGTCATTATGTCTACCATTGGTGATTTTTTGGAGTAGCCCTTTTGTATTACGTATGTAGAATAGACAAATATGTCAAGTGTTCTTTCTGGTGAATTTCCAAGAAATATATTCTCAATATATCCAATAATTGGCCAGATAGTGTCAACTATTATCACTTAGAGAAGCACTACTGTACGGATCATTAAACTGTTCGACCAATTGACTATTAAACTATTCGATCAATTGGTAGCAAATAAACTGCGGATTTTTATGCGTTTATAAGAAATTTGAGGGCACAAATTTGCACAGAATGTACGTAATATGAAAAATATATAAAATAATATAAAACTATATAAAATATCCAAAGCATAGTGCTCTGTATAAATAAAACAATTTCCCACTAACACTCTACCTTTTTAATGATATTCTCAAAAATATGAAATCCGCATTCTAGTACTATATATAGATAATACGAAAATACGTGCATACAGATTAAAATAAAACTTACCATGCTTTGACTCTGATGAGGACCTCTCCCTCCGCGAGGGTGGGCTCGGGCTTCCTCAAAGCCTTGACACTTTTCAATCCGCCGAAACCATTCAGTACAATAGCCCGCATGTCCTTCGGCTCTGGCGTGGATTTCTCCTCGCCGTTCTCCTTCGGTTTATTATCACCGTCGCCATTCTCTTCGACTTTCTTTTCTTCTTCTTTGCTTTCCTTTGGCTCTTCTTTCTCTTGCTTAGACGGCGTCGCTTCCTGAGGTGGCTTTTCACCCTCGGCGCTCGGGCTTGTCTCGTTCTTGTCCTCTGCCATCTTTCCTCTCGATTTCTTTCGCTCTACTCAAAAACGTAGCTCTATCGCTCCTTTTTCTCGCTAGAAGCGCGTAACTTCTTTTTCAATAGAACGACCACGAAGGGTTCTTTTGCCTTTGTATTAATAATTAATGAAAAAACAGACAGGAGCAAGAAAGAAGGAAAATGCCTCAATGAGTCCTCTCTCTCTCTCTCTCTGTATCCCTACCGCGTTAATCAAGACCGCTAGCACGTTTGCACCCGACGAGAGCTAACGTTGTTCTGCGCAATTTTCCGCCACAGTGGCAGGGAAC